ACAAAACCCCAAATGACCCATTTAATAAGAAACAGAAGAAATATAATATACAATTTAATAATATAATATAATAAATAAATAAAGAAGATAAAAGATGTACGAAGATAATGTTTATAATAATAATAATAATAATAATAATAATAATCTGTTGAGTTCCCTTTATAGTACAATCTCTCTTTTAGAAATATATATACTTAAAACTTATAATGTTAGGGGATTATTAAAATAAATTTTCTCAATTAAAAATTAAGAATACATCGGCATATATGTATACATAATGCGCCTAGGCCGGACTGTAAATATAAATATACAAATAAACACATATATTTATATATATATATATATATACACAAATATATATTAGCATCCCCTCAAATTTAAAGTCGTATGTAGAAATCAATTTTTTAGCATAATCAAGCATAACTCAAAGCGGCCAAGAATGTGAGATATGGTAAAACAGTCTACAGTCCTTCCGGTTTGACTGCACATTAGAAGAGAAATATATCACAGTAAAACTTTGATCATCTAATTGGCCAAACAAAAATTAAGGTAAATTGTTTTTTTAATCCCGTAACTAGACTCCTTTATCATTTTAGTTCCGTAAGTGAAGTCTGTCGCAAATTAGTCCCATAAGTGAAAATTTTTTGCTGTTTTAGTCCTGCGGCGCCGAAGATGCTCCCGTGGCTCGCCGGAGGTGACGTGTCCGCCAGGTGTCCCGCCAGGTCAGCTACACCTGGCGGACACGTGAATTTATTTATTATTATTATTTTAAATTTTTTTAATTGAAACAAATAAAAAAAAAATAAAAAGATACAAATAAAATTTAAAATAAATTAAAAATAAGTTTTAAAAATTTTTTAAAGAAATGACAAAAAATTTAAAAAAATCCACGTGTCCGCCAAGTCAGTGACACCTGACGGACACGTCACCTCCGGCGAGCCACGCGGGCATCTCCGGAGCTGGAGGACTAAAACAGCGAAAAATTTTCACTTATAGGACTAATTTGCGACAAACTCCACTTACTGAACTAAAATGATAAAGGGACTAATTACTGAACTAAAAAAAACAGTTTACCCAAAATTAATTGAAAATGTAGTAGGTGCCAAGAAAGGCAGATGGGTGTCATTGATAGAAAAGATATGAGATAGGGAGATCATAGATCATATGATTACTAATACGTAGTACAACGCTTTCAAATATTTTAGAGGATTAAACTCCAATATTTTTTTAGCTAGTAAAAATTTTAATCAAAATTCTTTAATATTTTTTGTAAAAAAAATTAATATATTTTACGCACTTACTATTTATATTTTCTCCATCTCATATCTATATATATATATATTTATTTTTTCCACGAAGTTTTAGAAATATTAGAATACAATACAAATGAAGGTAAAAAGATTAAATTAACCCTATTAATATTGTATGATATAAAGATAATGATATTTGTGTAATATATTATAAATTTGAAGGATATTTGTAATGTTAGTTGGATAATATAATTACTAAAAAATAAAATAAATACTTTATTATGAAATAAATTAAAATAAAAAAATAGATGAATAATTAAGGAAACGAGGAAATATTATATATACAATTTCCTCTCTTTTACATAAAAAAAATATATATATATAATAGTAATAACAATAAAAAAAAAAAAAACAGATTATTTTAAATAAAAATATAAAACAAACACACCAAAATCTCCCAAAACAAAACACGTCAGCAATTCAGTCTAAATACGTCGCGACAAAGGGGTAGAAAGGGAGACACTCACATTAATTCAGATTTAAAACACCAACCACCACACAATTTTATTATTATTATTATTTTTTATTTAATTGAATCTTCATCATACATGATATTAACCAAGAAGGACATTCTTCAATCACATATATATACATATCTTCATTTATATATATTCGTTTACCTTTTACACGATAATTTTTAAATATTAATATTATAATAGGTTGTAATGAAAAAAACGAAAATACTTCTATTAGTATTGTGTAATATAAAAATAATGACATTTGTGTAATATCATGTAAGTTGTAAGGGTATTTATTATGTTAGGTACGTAGTACAATTACTAAATTAGGAAATGATAACCTTGTTTTGGAATAGACGAAAATGGAAAATGACAATATTTCAATGAGACAGAAGGGAATTTATACTTAATTAATATAGTATTTCCTCTATTTCACGTAATTTTGATCACGTTTTAAAATTTATAATTTATAATTTTTTATATTAAATCAACTATTTAATTATTTTAATTTTAATTTATAATTATTTTTATTAAATTATAATTACTTTTACTAATACTTTTAAATTATTTAATAATTAAATAATACCTAAAATTTCGTACGTCAGCTAATATGGACAAAATTAGCTAGGACATGTAATATATATTCCCTCCGTCCTAATTCAAAGTACCATTTTTACCATTTTGGTCCATCTCATTTCAAAGTATTTATTTACTATTTTATAAAAAGTAATCATTCACTAATACAAAAATACATTTAACTTTTACTTAAATTACAAACATATAATTATACATTCAATTAATTGTTACATAAAATCAAAGGGCAAAATACAAATTCTCTTACACACTTCCCGCTAATTAATAAAATACTATTATTTCTTAATTTATTACAAAACCTCAAATGACCCATTTGATTAGAGTCAGAGTAATTAATATTTATGATTAATTTGTTCTTAATTAAATATGTATAAATATTTTAAAAAGTATATATAGAATATACTTTCTTCGTCTTTTAACAAACTGTCCATATTTTTTTATTTTGGTTCGTTAAAAAAATATGTATTAATAATTTAAAAAGTATATATAGAATATACTTTCTCCTTATTTTATAAACTATTCATTTTTCTCCGTATTTTATAAACCATCCATTTTTTTTATTTTTTTTGTTTCGCAACAAAATATTCATTTCATTTTTTAATAATTGTATTATCTACTTAATATTACAAATACGTTTACAATTTACAATATATTATACAAATGTCATTACCTATGACACAATACCAAAAAAAATAATTTTAATCATTTTTACTTTATTCCTATTAAATATCAATATAATACTAATATACAAATATTTATTTAAGGGATCCAAAGAGTATATAATATGAATAGTAGCCAAGTGGATCAAGGCAAAAGACAGCAAAAAAAAAATAATTATATAATATAAATATAAAATTTATAATTAACGTAAATTAATTTTATAAAAATTAAAATATTTTAAATAGTGATAAAATTATTTTCTTATTAAAAAGAGTTGTAAATGAATAAATTTTTATAATTTTTATATTATAAAATTAATTAAATTAATATATATTTGTTAAATATATTATTAATAATATAATTTATTAAAAATAAAAATATATTAATTTAGATGTGATTAGACTTGCTCATTTGGTTTGGAACCGCTGGTTCGAACCGTCGGTTTATCGATTTTGGAACCAACGGTTACTGTTCAAACAGAAATTCCTAAGACAAAAGGATGAAGAAGAAAGAGAAGAAGATGTTTCGGGCTGCTGCCATGTGAAATTTGGAGACTCTGTCATGTAAATTATAGAATAGGGCAAAATGTATTTAATGATAATAATAGTATATTTATAGTTAAATTTTTTATTTTTTATTGAATTTTTATAAAAATAAAAATAAAATAATTTAGTAAAAATAAATAATTATTAATAATATAAAAAAAAAATAATACAATATTATTTTGTATATTTATATTTTAAATTTTATAATTTTTTATTATTATTATATTTAATTTTAATTATTGTATTATTTAATACACTATGTGTTTGTTTGGGGGATTTAATTAGATTTCTACTATTCATTCAATTTTTTCCCCCCAAAAATATCAAATCAAACACCTATTTTTCATTTTTTATATTATACTAAAAATCAATTTTATACTCAAAACATTACATCAACACCTATTTATATCACATCATACAACTATTCAAATTCAAAATTTTTACTATTCAAATCCCAACTCAAAATCCAAACCCCCAAACAAACACACAATATTTTTATCATTTATTTTTATATTTATTCAAAAATTAATTTAATTATTTACTTAAATTTATCATGTTTATAATTTAACAATCTAATCCATTATTTATATAGTTTTTACGCAATAAATATATATTTCAATAAAATTAATAATTAGATATAATTAGTTAAATAAAATTTAAATTTAAAAAACTTAGAAAATAGAAAGAAAATTATTTTAAATGAATATATATAAACCGACGGTTTAAATCGTAATCGGCGGTTTTTAAATCGAAACCGACGGTTTATAAACTGTAATCAAAACCGTTAAATCATAATCAAAATCGTCGTTGGGAAGGTTTAAACCAAAATCGACGGTTTATAAACCGTATTCGAAACCGTCAAATCGTAATTGAAATCGTCATTCGAAAAGTTCAATTTCGATTTGAAATTTTGACAAACTATAATCGATGATTTGAACCGTTTGGACAAATTTAGGTGTGATAAACTAAAAAAACATAATATCAAATTAACATAGTATATATATTTAATTTATATAAAATACTATTATTATATCTATCATTAAAATTTTTGTTACTTTTACTTTTTATTGTTATAAGAAGTATTTATATTTTTAGTTTTGATAAAAACGTATTATATTTATATATTTTCACTATTATAGTCTATCATGATTATATTTATCTTTTGCATTTATCAAAAATATTTTTATATTTTTATTTTTATAAGAAGAATTTTATAATTTTTTTGATTTGAATTATATTTTGATATAAAAATTAATATTAAAAAATTAGTACGCCAAAACTAAACGGAATCTAATTAAATGGATAAATTTTTTCGATAACAAATAAAATAATTTTCAAACAAACACTTGCACGGTATTCACTAAAATAATAAAACAAAACATCCTCTATATATATATATATATTTATTATTATATTATTCTGAGCTCTATTATTACCTTGCACTGTGCTCTCCACGCCAGACAAACGAAGCACACACGTATCTCCATTTCCATTTCCATTTCCATGGCGGATCCCCAATCCCAATCCCAATCTCAATCCGGCTTCTGCCCCCGTACCAAGACCTACCACAGCCTGCGCCCCGCCGTCCACCTCCCGCCGCCGTCGCAGCCGCTCTCCGTCGCCGCCTACACCCTCTCCCTCCTCCGCTCCCCCACCACTCCCGCCGCCTTCTCCCTCGACTCCACCACTTTCCTCATCGATGCCGCCACCGACCGCCGCCTCACTTTCTCCACATTCCTCCGCCAGGTCGCCTCCCTCTCCGCCGCCCTCAGATCCCTCCGCCGAAACGACGTCGCATTCATCGTCGCCCCTTCCTCCCTCCACATCCCCGTCCTCTACTTCTCCCTCCTCTCCGTCGGCGCCGTCGTCTCGCCGTCGAATCCCCTCTCCACCCCCGCCGAATTAGCCCACCAGATCGCCGTCTGTAACCCCGCCGTCGCCTTCACCACCGCCTCCCTCGCCGGCAAGCTCCCGCCGGATCTCCCCGTCGTCCTCCTCGATTCGCCGGAATTCCTCTCGATGCTCGAATCTGGGGATTCCGAACTCCGCGACGCCGCCGTGGAGCAATCGGACACCGCCGCCATCCTCTTCTCGTCCGGCACCACCGGGAAGGTCAAAGGCGTCGTCCTGACCCACCGGAATCTGATATCTCTGATCGCCGGAATGTACCAGACCAAGATATTCGACAGTCTGCCTAACTCCGGCGGCGGCGCCAATGGCGGCTCCGGCGACATCCCAATATCCCTTTTCAGCCTCCCGCTGTTCCACGTTTTCGGTTTCTTCATGCTGCTGAGAGTGACGGCGGTGGGAGAGACCGTCGTGTTGATGGAGAAGTTCGATTTTGTGAAAATGCTCGAGGCTGTGCAGAAGCACCGAGTGATGTTCATGCCTGTGTCGCCGCCGCTCGTGGTGGCGCTGACCAAGTCCGATTTGGTCAGCAAGTATGACCTGAGCTCGCTACAGAGGCTCGGCTCCGGCGGTGCGCCGCTGCTGAAGGAGGTTGCCGATCGTTTCAATGCCAAGTTTCCCCAAATCGAGCTTTACCAGGTAAGCTTTTAATTTATTACAGGTTAGAATCGAATATTAATTGCTTTCTATAGAAATTAATGTAATGACCCAAGTTTGCATATATTTCAACCTGTTTCGATATGTTTTTATGCCAATTGCTTTTAAGGTTTTAAGTTTTTGTAACCCAGGAAAGTCTTATGATTTATAATATCTTGCTAGAGAAAAAGAAACTTTTGACTTTATACTCTTTTCGAGAAAGTTACTATTGATTGATAAAATCAAAAACTTAATTGAGTATGTTTTGAATACAACATTCCGAACATATATTTATACATATCTCAGCCTAGCCTATGCAGTGTTATAGGATAACATAGACTGAGTTATAATATAATATATATTGTATTATAAATATATTGTAATATGTGTACATATATATTAGTTACTATTTTTTATATGAAGTTTTAGAAATATTAGTATTATATTGAGATATAGTATAAATGAAGGTAAAAATATTAAATTACTCTTATTAGTATTGAATGATATAAAAATAATGACATTTGTGTAATATATTGTAAATTGGAAGGATATTTGTAACGTTAGGTAGATAGTACAGATACTAAAAAAAGAAATAGATACTTTGTTATGAGTCGGACCAAAATGAAAAAATGAATAAATTGTTAAGGAAGGGAGGAAGTATGCTAATTTGGTCGAATTAGCACTATGTGACTTGTTCGGATCAGTAGCTGATCGAGGCCGAACGAAGTATGTTTCGAATAGAATATACCCTCTTATTGAAATAAGAATATCTTCTCCTAGAAGCAAAATAAAGTCCAAAACACAAGTAAACAGAGCTTTTAGCATTCTGTCAGGACAAAAGTAGTTTAAGACAACCTTTTTGATTTTGAGAATGAAACTGGAGGCCTAATGCAATAGCAGCTTGGGGAAAATAGTACCCGAACGATAATAAACACAATACAAGTCGTGAATTCGACCCTCGCTGAGTCTCAATTGGTTTAGTTTGGTTTGTAATTGCGCCTCGATACTAGATGGCTGCCCACCAGCCAATGAATCGAGAATCATTATACAAAGCATGTGTTTTAATATAGTATCATTGGACATTGGTTCATCGTAATCCTTTCGTGTAAGGATGATTGAATGTGTAATATGAATATCGACAGAGTGATCTTCAAGTACCCTAGCCGAAGATTTGTTCTTTTTTTTTTTTTGGACGAAAATTTAAAGATGGATAGGTAAAAGAATAGGAAAAAAGAATATAGAGAGAAATGTGTACTACTTGCTACTGTAAATTTGTTGGTAGAGATTGTTGATTTAATTATTTGTTTGTCCCCTTGTGCTTGCTCGGAATCGAGAAAGTTTTCGTAGTTCAAACTGATGAAACGATCCAACCAAAGCCATCTTAATTTTATTTTTGATGTTCGACAGATACGTTTATTAAAGATGGTAAAAAATTTGGTACCGTAATTGTAAAGAGTTTTACGGTACGGATATAAGTTTTTAGGTACGTTTTTAACAAGCAGTAGCTATGGCAGTCACATACAGTAATTTTAATTTCTTGGTCTTTAAGGGTTATGGCCTGACGGAGACTTCAGGGGCCGCTACCAAAACTGTCGGGACCGAGGCTATAAAGATCGAATCTGTTGGCCGCTTGGCTGAAAACTTGGAAGCGAAAATAATCGATCCCGAGACTGGAGAATCCTTACCTCCTGGAAAACAAGGAGAATTATGGTTGCGAGGACCGACTATAATGAAAGGTAATGTAAAGACGACCTTGATCGACACACAGATTGATTGAACTTTTCTTCTAATTTTTCGATAGCAAATATATATATATATATATATATGTTTTGGGAACTTTGTTTGTCGTGGACAGGCTATGTTGGGGACGATGCGGCAACAGCTGCGACATTTGGTCCCGACGGGTGGCTGAAGACGGGAGACCTTTGTTATTTTGACTCGGAAGGATATCTTTACATTGTTGATCGGTTAAAAGAGTTGATAAAATACAAAGCATATCAGGTCGCCGTCTTTACCATTAAAAGTTTCAGTGTCGACAATGAATTGGTTTTCTTCCGTAACGAATATTAAGACATGTTTTCAGGTTCCTCCGGCCGAGCTGGAACAGATTCTCCTGTCTTTACCTGATATTGCTGATGCGGCCGTCATCCCGTAAGTACCTTGTCATAATTTATCGCTAAAAAAATGTCGGTGGTCGAATCATTAGTATAAGACCCGTTCGTGTGCAGATTGGGGTTTATATACAGTGTTGATTAATCCCAATCAGCGCATAGAAAACAGACAACAAATTAACTAAAATCATATACCGAGTTCATAGTTTATCGCGTGTGTTGTATTAACGTACTTTATGTGTTGTGTATGACGACGGCTACTGTGTTGAGTACTGACAACACATTATGCACTAATATACATCACATATTATTACTATAAACAATACAATATTTATATTAATATAATATAAATACATCATATGAACTAGGGCCGACAAAAATTGATCCGACTTGAACTTGACCCGAAATCAATCGATTTGGGTTGAGATTTTTGACCTGATTAATAAATGGATCAAACCCGTTTAACCCATTTAATTAAATGGATCAGGTTTAGGTCCAAATTTTCAAAAAAAAAGCACATTTTATTTCACACATATGATGCGTACTTATTTTATATTTGTTTATATAATTATTTTTGTTGTGTATCTTTCAAAAATATCACATCAAATAATTATTTATTTTTTTTTTTTTCTTTTTGTATTATATTAAGATATATGTTATGCAGTTTATTTATACTTCATGTGTTGTACATCAATAACTCATGTCATACATACTTCTCGACTGTTGAATTTCATCTACTTTCCGTATCGAATTTCGCCCTTGTGTAATAAAAAATGAAATGTAGGTACCCTGACGAAGAAGCAGGTCAGATTCCGATGGGATATATCGTTCGAAAACCAGGAAGTAATGTCTCCGCCGCTCAAATAATGGATTCGGTTGCAAAACAGGCACGCGATCAAGATCAACTCTTTTTTTTCTTTATTGCATTTTTTGCCACGATTTTACCGTTCTCGACACATTTGTGATCGCGGCAATTTGCAGGTTGCTCCTTACAAGAAGCTCCGACGCATCGCATTCATCGACGCAATCCCGAGATCTGCGGCGGGGAAGATCTTGCGGCGGGAGTTGGTAGCTCATGCTGTCTCTAAACCTTCCTCCAAACTGTGAATCTTAGGTATAATTATTCGGGAAATGCGCGGAAGTTCTGAAATAATTTCCAGGCCATGGCGATTGCTGCCTATATTTATATCTTACAGTCTGGTGTAGTGTAAAAAGTGACCATTTTTGGATGCTGCTTAGGAGTGGAAAAGGGACGAGACAGAACTCGTTTATACATGCACTGCTCCATTTAGATTGGGATAGAAGAATTCTTGTTTTTAATTATATTTATTTTTATTGTATTTCAAATAATATATAGCTTTTCCAATTTTGTATCGACTCATTTTCAAAATTTTGGGAATTTTTTGTATGATTAGTCTCTCCGTTTCAATACAAAGTTTTGTTTACTATTTTTTTCCGTCCCAAAACAATAGTCTCATTTTCATAAATATTCATATTACCGTAAAATTATTCTTACTTTTTCATTATTATTACATAAATGCTACTAGTTTTTATACTTATACACTCACAGGGACAAAAAAAAAGTCTTTTAATCGTACTTTTTACCAACTGTAATATAATATTAATATTCTTTAAATTTCGTGCCTAATTCAAATAAGACCATAATTTTGGAACGAAAATAGTATTATATTACGGAAAAGCAACTTTTTTACTTAAAATTATATTATCTCAATCCATCAAATTGGTGGATGGAAGGAGGATAATTTATTAGTGGTGGAGCCATAAAATTTGAGGGTTGAATTTTCTCTTAAATATATTTTATTTGTTTGAGATAATTATGTGGTGTTTTATTTTTTTGTCAAATTTATATATAATTTATTTATAATAAATAATTGTATTCATTTACAATTTGACTCTTTCCGTCCATTTTCAAATGAGTCGAAATAATATTATTTTATCGGTCAGTGAAGGTGTGTAAGAGATGTTGATATTTTTGTTTTTTTACTTTTTGTATAAAATATTTGTATGTCTAATGGTATGTTACTAATTTAAGTAAAAATAAAAACTATTTTGATATCTATGATTATTTTTTCTAAAATCGGAAAGAGATACTCTGAAATGGACAAACAAAAATGATTAAAAGGATACTTTGAATTCAAGGGGGGGGGGGAGTATTATTTTTGCTTTATATAACAACAGCCAAATTGCCCTTATTTTTTTTTGTACTTACTCTACCAATTTATTATTAACTACTTAATAAAATTTTTATAATACTGTTATCTTTGAAATTCACCGATGACAGCCCAACAAATTTAGGCCGGTTAAAATCGACAAGAACTTAGGTTCCCTGGCATACTTAAGAAAATATCGGACTAAATCTTGCGATAAAAAAATAAGTCGATCTAAAATATGTGAAAATTAATTTACTAAGATGAAGAACAACTTCAATCGAACAAATTAAAGCAAGGAAAAATTGTGAACTACACATGTAATTTAAAAATTCGAAATAGCAATATTCTTAGAACAATAATTGAAAGAATTAAATTGAAAAGGATTTTCAGCAAGAAGGGAAAATAATTAAATATGCAGAGAAAAAAGAATGCAAAACAAATATATGGAAAAAAAGAAAAAAAGAAAAAAAGAAGGAATTTCTAGGGGTGCTGGATGGTTTCCATCTTCTCCTAAAGTTTTGGCTTAAATAGCCATAATTTGCCTTTGCTCTCCCAAGTTTTCACATTTCATACTTTCATTATTTGTGCTCATGTTTCAACTACTTTTTTTACCGTTTAAGTGTTACATTTTTCTGATTCTGATTGATTGGTTACCTTTGAAGTTGTGTCTATGCGACTATATGGATATTTATATGTATATTCTTTCTTGGGATTCCTAAATGCTTTGTGGTTGTATTTTTGGGTATTTTTTGTAGTAGCATTCGGCTGAACTATGTGCTTTTCGTTTTTCCCGACTTGCTTTGTGTTCTTCTTGGATTGGATGTCCTGTGTGGTTGTATTTTCAGAAATTTTTGTGGTAGCAATCTATCGATCCAGATATTTAGGTTGTGAAACTTTGTACTTAAGCTGTAGAGTTGTGTACTTAAGTTATGCTTGGTACCTAGAGTTGTATGTTCTCTACTTTACTTCAAATAAGGTGGAACTTCTGTTGTATGTTTCTAAGTTATGTATTAATTCAACATGTAATTGTTGGGTGTGTGTGAAAGAGAAGAGAAGACAAATGAAGAGTTTTGTCTCCCATGTGGGGATACAAACAAACTCACCACCATTATATTAATTTTTCACTCCATTAAATAATAGAGGACAAAATTGGATTGGGTTTGGGCTCTATGGCTTGGATTTGTGCTTGAGCCTATGCTTGAAATATATGTATATGACTTGTGCTTGAGCCTATGCTTGAGATATTTGTACTTAATATTCGATTTCAGTATTATCTGATCTGTAAAATACGTTTGTGTGTTTGTTACGAGGGACAAAAGGTGGGGTGAAACTTATTGTGGGGAAAATTGACTAAAATTTTGGAATTGTTACGCTCATGTACCAATTTTGATAGCAGGATAGAGAAAAATAAAATACGAGAGAATTGAATGAACATGAGGACTTTTTTTTTTCTTAATATGATACACTTTTTGCCTCTGCCAAAATTTATTTTCATTTTTTCTTTTCAGTCTCTTGTTAAATTTATTCTATTACTAACTTTGCCAAAATCAAAATATCAAACCGACTTAATATTAATTTTTTCGGAATTGATTGAAATAGATACAATTTAATATGTTTTGAATAATTTGTTGTAATATTTTTAATGTAATTTATTTATTTATTTATCGCAACATGTTGGGAGGTTGTGAGCAATATCTTTGCCATAGACCAACCGCCAACACTAATCCTTCAAGCTCATTACAACTTGATCTCTAATTTAGTTGGTGTAAAAAATAAAATGGAACTCTATTTATTATAACAGAATGTTACAAACCAAATCATTTATATGCCCCCGTTAAGGATTGTGGGTTTTTTTTTTTTTTTTTTTTTTTTTTTTTTTTTTCTGATGATATGGGAATCCGCAGCTGCTATCCGAAAGTACGTATTGAGTAAACTTCCGGCCGAACCTAATACCCTGCAAACTAAGCTTGTGGTTATTTCTTGCTACTACTACTTTAGTATTGCTTGTCCGATTGATCTTACTGCACGAGTCTCACACACAATGGTATTTATCGTCCACCCAATGCTTCACACGGATTCGGACAGCCATGGAGGATAAAGGTTTACGTCTTCACTCATGTTAGGCAAACATACAAAACATCGCCTTATAAATAGGCGCGAGTATTAACTAACTTCCCTTATTCTGATCATTTTTGCATAAATTTTTTAATGAAGTTTGGCAAAACATATTCGATCATATCATATGGGAAAATATATATGCTTTAATTTTAGATTTTGATGTTCTCATTGATTGGTTGTTGGCAAGTATCATGACTTAGTTCAACCTCCTATTGGCCTTATATATGTACATATATTCTTCCAGCTACATATGCATCTACTCGGGGCTGTCTCGGATTATTTCAAAGTCTTGAGCAAAAAAAAATAAATGGACAGGTCCTATAAATAAATAATTATTTATTTTTTTCAAAATAAAATCAACTATAGATATAGTAATAAACCCCACAAAATAAATAATTATATTAATCATATATTCAATAAATGAAATATATGTACAAAGTATATGTCAGAAAGTAAACGAATATCTTGATTATTATAAATCCAATAATTCAATAATAATAACACCACCACTAACAACAATAATAGTAATTATGAATTCTAAAGGCGGGTAATTGTAGACAAAAAATTTAAATTAAATTTTAATATATCTAATAATAATAATAATAATAATAATAATAGGATAAAATTTAAATATATGGGGTCATCTTGAAATAGAGGCCTGAGGACAGTGGCGGATCTATTAAGGGACCCTTACCCTACCCCAACTCCACTTTTACCCTATTTTATTAAATTTTTTTATTTTTAAAAGAATAATATATATAATTTATAGAAATAAAATAAATAAAAAATAATAAAAACATCAAAGTGTTCGATTTTTTTTTTTTTAATAAGAAACTGCATTAGTTTTTTTTTTTTTTTCAAAATATAATATATCAGTACTTACTAATGAAAAAGATTGTTTTATTTTTATTTGGATTATATTTGATGTAATAATTAATATTTAATATTAGTATGCAAAAAGTAAATATAAATTTATTAAGTGGACGATAGTAGTATTATTTTACAAATAAAAAATTTATTTTATATAAAAAATTTGCCCTCCCCCTGTTAATATTCTAGTTCCACCACTGCCTGAGCACTAATATATTGCTCCGGCTAAGAGCCGGCTCTGCATCTGTTCACAATTTTTTTCTTCACAGAGTTTAGTGTTCGTATGGTTGAATTATGTCGCTAACCAACTTCATTGAATTTTGATATCTGGTTTAAAGATTGACAAGCATTTCATCTTACGATTTTTTTTATTGTAGTTTGAAACTAATTTGTACTACTTGAAATTTGAAAATGGGCCTCGGAAAAAAGTTTTGAAATCAATTCCCGTACTACTAAAAATAGAGTCCCGTAAGGGATGATCTGGTGGTGTAGGGGTTGAATTTGTGACCGTGAGGTCATGGGTTCAAACCTCCGACGCCTCAGGTCACCTGCCACACATGGTTCGCCTAGTGTGACTTTCCCGTCGGGCCTGGTTTGCAGGATATTAGGTTCGGCCGGGGGTTTAAATTAAACAGTCTCGCAATTTCCGAACCTTTATGATTTATTATTTATTTAATAAAAAGCTCGGAAAATTTCTGAGTCCATTAGTTAGTCTCGAAATTTTTGAGCTTTATTATATATGCTAATTTTTTAATTTAGAAGATTGTCTTGAAATTTTCTAAGCTGTATTATATATAATATTTATATTTAATCAATTAAATAGTTTTGGAAATTTTGAGTCTTTATTATATATACTCCCTCCGTCCTAAATTTAAGGATTCTTTTAGAGTTTTGTAGTAGATCAAAAAATAATTGTATTTTATTAGTTCGCGGAAGTGTGTAAGACTTTTTGACATTTTTGCCCTTTTAGTTTATATATAATGTAATTATATATGTAATGATATATTTGTAATTTAAATAAAAATTAAAAATATTTTAGTATTAGTGTATGATTACTCTTTTTTTTTTTAAAAAAAAAATAGGAAATTGATACTTAGAGGTGGGACGAACGAAAATAGTAAAAATGATATTTTGAATTGAGACGGGAGGAAGTATTATTTTTTTAATTAAGAACATTGTCTCACAACAAGAATGTCGACGGCTGCTTGTCAATCCATGGCTTATTTAATACATCTTCAGAAATTACTCGAGAAGGTTGCTGAACGCGGCCGCCACTCTCTAAACACAAA